CTTTCTCTACGACGATGTCGCCGCGCCGTACTCGGCCCACAAGTCGTCCATTCGTGCCCTCTGGCCCATCTTACGCGCTTGCGTCTGGTATTGTCTTTGGCTCGAACGCAACAACCGTGTCTTCCGCACGACGCTGACGCAACTTCCCGCTGCCGCGCTCGCGATCCGGGCAGCTACTATCGCAAGACTGCCCTTGGCTCGTCGCGCAGTTGTGCCATCTCTTGAGGCGTCGCTGGCCGCTCTCCGCGACGACCCTTGGTGTGCACGCTACCTGGTCCCTCGCACAATCTCGAATCACGACCACTAACGCTCCTCGCTGACGCACCGGCGACGCCTCACGAGCGCCCTAGGAAGTCCACCATATCTTTATAATTGCATGCAATAGAACTCAGTTCAACAACAACACTCGCTATCACTGCGCAACGTACCAGTCCCAGGTGCACGTTGTGGCAGCCAGCGATCACTTGCCAAGCCGAGTTCGGTCTGTCTTTCTGTTTACATTAATCCTCAGATGAAGTGTCCTTTCGACGCGGTCGGGGCAAGGATGGCTGGCGATCGAGCAGGAACGCTGGCTTGGTCGGCAAGATGATCGTCGCCCGCACGATCGATGGTGTAATACGTTTATTCATCGTCAAATCCGGGGCCGAAAACTAAGGGCCAGAGCATCCATTGTCGTACGCGTAGCGCTTAGTGGCGGTGCTCCTTGTACGAGCAGTCGCTGATCACGACCTTGGTCGGGTTGACGCCTTCCTGGTTCAAGCACGCGACCATGTTCTTGCGGATTTCGTCAGCCAGGTTGCGGTCGCGGCTGCGGAGCCAGAGCTCAAAGCGGTACGAGTGCGAGTCTTTCTTGTTCTACCAGCAAGCATTTAGTGATGATGCATTGCCGCGGCCTCGCGCGGTACCTTGTGCACGACGCGGGCGCCCGTGACTTCGTTGGTCGGGTCAATAGTTTCGCCAATCATGCCGAGCACGAGCTTGTCCCAGAGCTCGTCGAGCGGGCCAGCCTGCAGCTCTACAAAGGCGCCATTTAGCCTGCGTTTCGCCGCCAGCAGAGCGTACTGATCGAGAGCTGCCATTCGCCGCCGCTCATGTTGGCCGAGTCTTCCCACTCGGGGCGAATGCCGTCCTTGAAGACGGCGAACGATTGCACGGAGCGGTCCGTGAACTTCTTCTTGACGACGCCGTCGTTGAGCACCTGCGACGGCTTGGGGATGTTGTTCCAGTAGCCCCAGAACTCCTCGACGCTTGAGAAGGTGCAAAGGCGGTGGAGGTTCTCGCCGTAGTTGCTCTTGGAGCTATCGCGCAGCTCCCAGATGCTCCACGCCGACTCGAGGGCGTGCGTCTCCGTTGGCTCGGTCGCCATCGTCGCTATGTCAAAAATGGCTGTCATTTTTTTCACATGCCGAGGCTGCATACAAAAAACAAGCTATTTAATAAAAACACAGTGTGGGGCGCCCATGAATGGCAGTGTATCCGGAAATGCCGGATACATACGAAGTGGCATGTGCCGAAACGAACCACTTCAATGCGGCACGATTTACGGATACTGTAACGGGAATTACGGATACAGTCAGGTGTCCGGATACGCTCGAATCCACCCTGCCACGTAGCATTTCCCGAGTTGCTCAAGATGCGCTTCGCCACGTGTGCTCTCGCTGTGCTCGCTGCGCTCGTCGCCGCGAAGGAGGACCTGCCGCCGACGGCGCCGCTGCGCATTGGCGTCAAGTACCGCCCCGAGTCGTGCGACCGCAAGTCCGAGAGCGGCGACCACCTCTCGATGCACTACACGGGCACGCTGCGCAAGGACGGCTCCAAGTTTGACTCGAGCCGCGACCGCAACCAGCCGTTTGAGTTCACGCTCGGGTCTGGCCAAGTCATCAAGGTACGTTTATCGCTTGCAGCCAACGCGAGTATGGTTCTGATCGCACATTCTTTGTAGGGCTGGGACCAAGGGTAGGCTGCCGCCATATATTGCCTTTGACAATTGGTCACTCATCTCATGTGCGTTGTCTAGTCTTGTGGGTATGTGCGTCGGTGAGAAGCGCCGTCTGACGATCCCGTCGGGCATGGGCTACGGCGACCACGGCTCGCCGCCCACGATCCCGGGCAAGGCGACGCTCGTCTTTGACGTCGAGCTCCTCGCGATCAAGAACCCCAAGACGGAGCTCTAAACCAATGTACACCATCGTATTGTTCGTCATACTATCTTTGCACTGGTTCTACTGCATACAACTACTGCCGCGAATCTCGCGCCGTGCGCAGGTCCTGGGCTTGGAACCCCGCCTCTTGCTCGAGCTTGCGCTTTGAGATATCCGACTTGTGGAACCGGGCGAGGACTTTTTCTTCAAACGCCGCCTCTTCAGCCATGCGTTGGGTGTCCTCAGGAGTTGTCGCAGCGGGCTTGTCGTTCCATAGCATCGCCCACGTGGCGTGGAGCACCTCCTGCGCCGCCTCCACGAAGCTCGTACTCTCACGCGTCGTCGGCGAGCTCTCGAGGGATGTCGACTTAGGACGACCGGCTAGGATCGACGCGACCTTGGCGCGCAGTGCGTCTGGCGTTGCATCGAGCGACGAGGGCGACGTCACGTCTGCGAGGGTGGCCCAGAGGTCTTCGATGTGCAACGGCGTTGCCGTACGATCACCATTATCCACGAGCTTGGCGTAAAACTCTTTCCATGACGTTTCCCACGACTCGAGCGAGAAGAAATCATCCCACGTCACCTCGTCTTCTTCGTCCCACATCTCGCGCAGACGGACCCAGAGCGCCGCAACGCTCCACGTGGCCGGCGCTTCGAGAGTGGCTTCGGACGACTCGGCGTCTTCCTTTGCGCCAAGGTCGATTCTCGGTGCAGCCGCGTCTGCGCTCGTCAAAGGCGTCTCGGGCGCCGCGTCGCCCAGGACGGCAACCTCCATCGAACGCAAACGGGCTTGGAGCGTGTCGATCTTGGCGGCCATGGCCGCGAGCTCTGCTTTTCGCTGGGCCTCCTTGCTCTCTTCAATCTCGACTTCCGCGCGCGCCTTGGCGAGCATGACCAGCCGCGCCGCCTCGTTCTCGCTCTCCATTTCGACCTTGACGCTGTGGAGGTACAGGCCGACCATGGTGCCGGGCCCAAACATGATAAAGCCATAGAACGCTAGCCGCGGACCAGAGACGAGGTCGCTACGTACACAGAGAGACCATATGAGCTGACGCAACATCGTGTCGAGCCAACGTACTCGAAGGCACGCGCCGGCGCCGCCGAGAAGAGCTGCTTGAAGGACGCCATCGGTGACCACTGGCATCCGGATGGCCTCACAGGATAGAAACACCCAACTTCAGCACACTCGACATTGGAGACAAACAACGATCCGAGCACCTTCCACGAGGCGTCAAAGCTGTTTACATCGAAGGTTCATCATATCCTCACATTCTTGTAAGCCTGCGTGGGCTACCGCCTTCGAGGAAGCCGCTTTTGACATCCAGAGGTCGACCCGTTTCTTCTCAAGACGGACGACAGTGACACGTGCGATAATGTAATTGTTTGTCGCCGTCTAGCAGATTGAAAACTATTAGACCATACTGTGCACACGCGACTGAAATTCTGCTTCAAGCTGCTGTAATCGCTCCTGGGCTTTGTACAGCGTGGCGTTGGCCAGCTCGAGGTTGGGTGGCAGGCCCTGGAAGCGATCGACCTTGGCGCGAACCTTCTTGTTGTCAGCTTCGAGTTGCGCACACTGTTGCTCGAGGCCAACGAGCACGTGGTGCTGCAAGGACCTACGCGCATGTTCAGCATTAAGCTTTCGTGCAATCTCGTTGGCGCGGGCGTACGATGCTACGTCAAAGTAGCCGCGGTCGGCGAGGATCTTGTCGAGCTTGGCCTACGATCGGTGTCATGGGGTCGTCGTCGTGCCCAAACATTCTGAGCGTACAATCTCCTTTGAATACACAGCGTGCTTTCCTGCATACTCCTTGAGGCGACTGTCCATCGTCGCCACATTCTCTGCGCCAAAACCACACGTCATGTCTCCATGCATGACAAAACGAAGTCGCACCGATTGCATCGCGCTCCTTGGACGCCGCGTCCAGCATCGCAAGCATGTGCTCCATCTCGCGCAGCTCGTCGTGCAGCTCTTGCTTGCGCTTGAGCTGCTTTGCTTCATGGCGTTGCCACGTGCTCACGGACGCACGGAGCCCGTCGTACTTTTCGCGCAGGTCCGAGATGGCAGCCACATACCTAACAACGCATACAAGTGCGATGCATGCCTTTTTCGAGGGCCGTACGCGCTGGCGTCGGTCGTATTGAGCTCGAGCACACTCGCTGCTTGTGCCATGAGGCGGATGTGCTTCTGGCTCGCCTACGAGCCATATCTCTTGTCGGCGTCATGAAGGTACGATGGCTGCACCCACCGAGGACAAGTCTTCTTCGCGCAGACCAATGTACTGTAGCAGGTCGGCGTGGAGCGCATGCTCGCGCTGCATGTCCTTCCGCAGCAGCTGCCGGACGGCCTCGGCGCCCTCGGTCGTCATGCGTGGCAAATCTTTTTTAGATTCGGCATGAGTGCCACATATGCCGCATGAAGGCATTCCGGCTACACCACGATGTGGCGCGCGTTGCTATCCCACGCAAATCGTACATCGAGCGTTCAACGCATCAGCGCCGTCGTTTAACTGCAAGTACGTGACCTCGTCCGACTGTGCAGTGGGTCCAAGGTGCGAGGGCGATGCTGCCAGCTCTTATTCGGCACATGCCGAATATAATATGTAAGAGACTGGGGTCGAATATATCGAGTATGAGAGGGCAATGAAACGATTGGTGGAATCGACTGGAGCAAAATATTGGATCGGGTCACAGCCCATTTCCGCAGCAGTCATGGCCGAGCCGCCGAAGAGCAAGAAGCACCGCAAGGACAAGCCGTGGGACACGGCCGACGTGGCCCACTGGAAAGTCGACGTACGTGCTTACGGCCATGGGTGGCGAACCTGGCTAATTCGATGGCGATAGCAATGGAAGGACGACGAGAACCCGACGGGCATGCTCGAGGAGAGCTCGTTCGCGACCTTGTTTCCCAAGTACCGTGAAAAGTACCTCCGCGAAGTGTGGCCGATCGTGACGAAGGCGCTCGATGCGTTCAAGATTGTGTGCGAGCTCAACCTGATTGAAGGCTCGATGACCGTGCGCACGACGAAGAAGACGTCCGACCCGTACATCGTGCTCAAGGCGCGCGACCTCATCAAGCTCTTGGGCGCGCTCGATTCCTGTCAACCAGGTAACCATCTCTATTGCATTGAAAAGCAGCGGGAACAAGCGATGCGCGTAGGCCATCAAGATCCTCGAGGACGAGGTGCAGTGCGACATCATC